GGGGGGGGAGGGGGAAGGGGGAGGGACCTTTGGCAACTGGAACTTGAAACTCTCTTTTCCCATTTAGATGTCCTAATTACAAAGTTAGTTAGTGTTTATGGTGAACAGTGACAAAATCAAACATTAGCATGTTTCATCTGCCACTGGTAGACTTCTCAGAATTCAGAGCTTTCTTCAATTTAAAGGGGAAAGAAAATGGAAGTGTAAAGTATGTTACTATTACTCTGTTAACAAATATTAGCTGCTTGCTATTTCTAGATTTCGAGTATCCTCCAAAAAGGCTTACCTCACCACATTATGCATCTTTTCTGTTCTTGCACTGTTCATTTGATTTGAAGGAGTCCTATGAAATACAGGGGCTATGAGACATCTGCCATTGTGGCATCTGCCACAGATGCCTTAAAACCTTTAAATCCGTTTAGCTTGCCCTTTCCCTTGCATTCAGTTGAATTTTGTGCGGTGTTACTTTTGAATTGATAATGTTGCTACTGGAATGTTCATGATGGAAAAATGATCTTATTGTAATAGTGAATAGAATTCACATAATCTGGCTTTGGGTAATGGCTACCTTGTTATAGTAACGTTTATTTCTTTTGAAACAGATATGCTGCTTATAATTTCAATAGAAGAAGGATCTTATCCAAAATTTTGTCTGAAAAATCAGATTACAATCTTCCTTTAGAGTTAATTAATAAGCCTTTTGTAATAAGTAACGTACTTAGTGTCATTTTTTTGTGTTTATTCCAGCAAAGTATGTCATTTTGATTATTACTCAAGAGCATGTCTTTATCTTCGGAGTTAGAACTTATAGTTTAAATACATTAAAAAGTTACATCAGAAATTCCAAATAGGAATGTGTATTTCCTCCTTTATTTCAAGGCAGCATGTAATTTTGTTAGATATAATTAGCGCATGGTGAAATTACCAGTTTATTTACTTAGACTTTTGTCTCTGCTGGGATTGAGTATAAAGGTACTAATCATAATGTAGATTAACATGGAACAGCTATGCTTTTTTGGATCCTATAGCCTATTAGATTTATTGCCTCTTTCAAGTCGGCATGAGACAGTGTGTAATCTATATATCTAGCCTTCTTTCTATTTGGAGAATAGAAGATATTTATATTAGTTTCATAAAGTAAAGATTAAATCTATAATAGCACTAGGGTTTTTTCTGAGGTAGCAGAATGTCTGCCCACATTCCTCATTATTTGATAAATTTGGGTAGATCCTATGTTTGTTTTTGGTACAAACTACCATTGCAATTACTGTCATTAAATTGCAGTAACACTGTAATTATACATGGGTGCATAAAGTTTATTCAACTTATCTAATGCAAATGATACGTTGTTTAAAAATTTAAATCTTAAAATACTTTTGATGTATTTTCTAAATCAGCTTCTTACCTTTAAATCCTGGTTTTGAACGAAGTTGCAGTCATACCTAGTGAATCCCTAGTCAACTCAACAAAGCATTTTTTCTAAACTAGCCTGCTGAATTTTATTACTTTAGACCAAGGAAACTATTGTGCTTCAAGTTTATCAGTCGGAATTAATTCCAGAATATAAACTTCATTGACAATAAAAATGCTGTGATTCAGTAAAAGTCTGCCCACATAATATATCTACCACAGTAAAGATTAAAACCTCGCTCCCCTGAAATTGTCTGGGAGTTTGGAACCAGCATTTCACCTGTAACTTTTAGCCAATGTACTGAACATAGTTCGTGGTTATCTTACACATGCTGAGTAAACAATTCTTGTCTTAATGCTTTAAAAACACATCTCACTATAATATTTCTGGTATTTTTTTCTTGATTCATTATGAGCTTAGTCCTGCATGGTAGCTAATGCTCTTGGTCTTCATGAAAACTGGCAACATCTAGTACTTCTCAAGAGGGACAATGCAGCGTTGAGGATTACTTTATTTGTAATAGAGCGTACATGCACTGTTATATGTTGGTAGAAAATCGCGGATGGAGAGCTGCCATGGCTACCTTTTTAATTTGAATGCATTTGCTGCATGTTATGTTCATTACCTGCGATAATCAGGCCTGCAGGTCATTAATCCGTTTGTTTATAGTGCTGCAGAATGTAAAACAAAATAGTGTCCAAAGTTTTCAGCGTACTCAGATTTGTATAGATTATTAAAATGCAGTATCTATTTGAAAAGCTTTCTGTCCAAAGCATACTGTGTTAGATAGCATGTAGAACATCAGAATGAATTTTAAAAGAAAATTACATTTTAGTAGGAAACTCTGGGACTTATCAAATATTTAATAAGTTTTTCCCAAATCAGTATCGCCAGAATATGCGACAACTCTTCCTTGAATGAAGGTGGTTCGGATTCAAATGGGTGCTCTGCACAAGGCGTCATGGGAGTCACTATTTCACTATTAGCTGGCGTTCTTCTTAGGAAGTTAGTTTGCTGAGATTGGGTCTTGATTACCCGTGTGTTTCAGGTTCACTTTGTATAACTTATTTTACAATGTTTCATGTGTATACTCATGTAGTACTAGTAAGAGATATTTTTCGTGGTTGGTAAATACATCATTATGGACAAAGCAAATAGCTTGCTTTGTTTCAGGAGACTAAATTCATTGCTTACAATATGTATGTGATGTTTCTAATACTTTGGCTTGCTTGTAAATTGAGAGTCTAGGATTTCATTGTAAGATTTCCATTAACTGTGGCATTCTGTCATCCTAATACAAAGCAGATAAATAGTGAATTAATTTCACCGTACTCAGAGCAGCAGTCTTATACAGGAATCTTTATTCAAAACTGAGGTCATTTGACATGTCTTGTCACATGCTGAAGAAGAAAATATATAGAGATAATACCTCCATACTAGAAGTCCTGGGCATACTGCTGACATAGAATATGTGAAGAATTTCATGCTTGCGAGAAAGAATGGAAAAATAATATACTATCTGTTGTCTGTGTGGTGGTGGTGATATGTATCTTTTAGACATATGTTAGCTCGTGGATAATTGACTGCTCTCTAGGTGAAGATACATTGCTCAGTTTTTACAAAGGTATTTTTATATATATTTGGGGTATAAGCCAAAAGTCTAGCAAATAATTTGAGCCAAAAGAGTAAGTAGGTAACTTGAAGTAATCAGAATGGATCATTTTGCACCTGGTTATAAGTAACTTCATACCAAAAAAATATGTATTTCTTTGAAAACTGAGCATTTCACCACAAAAAGGGATTTTATGAGCTAATTTGGTTTTAGGTACATAGCATAATACTGAAAGGCATCATTAAAACAGCTGTCAAGTTTCTCAGTGTCCACTTCTCTTAAGGTCTACCCCTACTAGAGTGGAATGTGTTGTAAAGTACACACGCTTGCACATCTTTGTTTTTCATGCACAGTTAGCATACATGCATTCATGCAGAGTTAGACATGTTAAAGCCTTCAGTAACTCTCTGCACTAATAACGCTTCACATCTATGAACCTGTCGTACACCTTTTATAATCCAATTTTAAGTAGTTTTCTAAATACTGTTTTGTTTGGCTGTGTGTGGACCTTGATATTCTGCTTGGGAGAGCTTGATTAAATTAATATAAGATGGAATTTTTATTATTTGAAAATCACAAAGGATGAAATGGACTTTTAAAGTAATGAGAAGAAGAATAGTCGTGTGATGAGGTTTTTTTGGTCTGTTCCTTTAAGCCTGTAGTTCATAATCACTCACAGCCATTTGAGAAAGAAGAGGGAGATTAGTGCAAATAATATCCTAATGATCCTTAACATCGTTGTTCCTCAAAGTAAATCAGATATTGTATTTCTGCTATCACAGTTGGCTGAAGCCAGTTTTTGCTAGCTGTTCGTTTTAGAGAACTCCAGGGAGGAAATACCGTAAGATGAAGGCATAAATTAGAAGGGGGGGAGGGGGAAGGGGGAGGGACCTTTGGCAACTGGAACTTGAAACTCTCTTTTCCCATTTAGATGTCCTAATTACAAAGTTAGTTAGTGTTTATGGTGAACAGTGACAAAATCAAACATTAGCATGTTTCATCTGCCACTGGTAGACTTCTCAGAATTCAGAGCTTTCTTCAATTTAAAGGGGAAAGAAAATGGAAGTGTAAAGTATGTTACTATTACTCTGTTAACAAATATTAGCTGCTTGCTATTTCTAGATTTCGAGTATCCTCCAAAAAGGCTTACCTCACCACATTATGCATCTTTTCTGTTCTTGCACTGTTCATTTGATTTGAAGGAGTCCTATGAAATACAGGGGCTATGAGACATCTGCCATTGTGGCATCTGCCACAGATGCCTTAAAACCTTTAAATCCGTTTAGCTTGCCCTTTCCCTTGCATTCAGTTGAATTTTGTGCGGTGTTACTTTTGAATTGATAATGTTGCTACTGGAATGTTCATGATGGAAAAATGATCTTATTGTAATAGTGAATAGAATTCACATAATCTGGCTTTGGGTAATGGCTACCTTGTTATAGTAACGTTTATTTCTTTTGAAACAGATATGAGAAAGGCTCTTTCCAGAGATTCAGAGAAGAAATCAATTATACCCCTACCTCATCCTGTGAGACCAGAAGATATTGAATAGCTGTAAGCTGTGATTCTCAGGCAACATACTAAGAGTATCAGTTTTGGGGTTTTTTTATCTCCTCCCCCCTTGAGCTTAAATGGAGGAGAAAGCTTTGGCTCAATGCCTACCCCCTGCCATGAAACTCCAAAAGTAATACTGAGAAGTTTACTTACACTGCTTCCCAATTTTACTTCCTAGTGTTGTACCACCCTATTTTACAGTAAGTATTTAAAAAAAAAAAAAATGCAGAGAGGAAGGAACTTTTATTACTGAGCCTGAGAGTCACAGCTATGCAATTCTTGTTCAGCCCTCATGTTTGAAATGTTGAAGCTTGAAAAATGTCTTTTGGAAGAAAAAAAAAAAAAAAAAACGGCTTGTACAATACAGACAAACTGTGTGATACTAATTTCTATGCCTTTGTCTTTCAGGGGTTAGTTTCAGTATATTTAACTTGTGTTATTATCCTTTCTAAGTAGTTTCGAAGATAAAAGCTTACATTAAAAGGAAGTCGAACAGGTTGCATTTTATTGTTTTCAACTCTCCTCATGATCAATACATATTTTACAGAATTACTGGAAAATATATCAGGAATGATTAAAGGCAGCTTTCTTATTACAGAAAGTAGATCTCGTGTCTTGCCACGTTACTATCCTTAAATCAAGCAGTCTTGTGCCAGTTTCTAAGAGCCTCAGAAAGGCTGGTCTCGTGTTTAAAAACAAAGCTGCAATCCACCACTTCTTATAGTTCTCAGAACATTGGTAATAACTGCAGACTTCTACACTTGCCCTATGACTTTTCTGTTCAGTTGTTAGAAATGCAGAGACTCTTAACTGGAATCACCATAATTTTTTTTTTTTTTTTCAAACCAAAAATGTCTTAAGTCAGTAATAGTAAAACTCTTCACATACATTTATTCATCACCAATGAAAATACTGTACAATACCCCAAAAAAGGAGTGGGAGAAGGCAATGTACTAAGACTGGCTTTCATCAATGTCTTTGTCAGGATCCATCTCTGCAGCTTCACTCTCCTGTTGCTGTTTCTTCCACAGTTTAGCCATCGCAAGTAGCTTGAGATTGGGCTGATTGGCAGTATCTTCTGGGAAAATATAATCATAGTATTCCTCCCAGCCAGCATCAGACTAGGCAAAAAACATAACAAAAAGTTTAAGCTGCATGTTAATGTTAGCTATTAAATGTGCTCCTAATGAGCATAACAATAAGATGAAATGAAAATCAGTGTTTGTTAAACTACCCACAACAGCTAAAACCAACTAGATGGAGGGGTTTGAGACAGTACTACTTCTACTATGAATAATGAGCAGAGGAGGTAGATTAGGTGAACTGTACTCTTCCAAACAATGCTGAGAAACAGATACTACCTGGACCTGTTTTGATCGGTCTACCATAGCAGTTTTAAAGTAAAACTAGCTTGAGCGTATGGTGTGAGTATTTTTCACTTGAATCAATCCCCTACCTAGACATGTTGAAGATCAAGGAGCTCAGCAGCACCTGTTTCAGGCCAATGCTTTGGTACTGCAATAAAAGCAACTTCCTACTTAGTTACAGCATCCATCCCAGCTGTATCATGTTTGTGTTTGAGATAGATAACAGCAAAAAGCCAGCAAGAATTCAAGATAGTTACTCGCATAATTTTTATTCTTACCCCATCTTCAGCCTGAAGTTTTCTTCTCTTCTTTATTTTTTCAGGCATAAGTTTATCTATCCTCTCTTTAGTGTTATCAGTGCCAAACTCCTGTTCAAAGTTTCTCCAGGATTCCAGAAGCATGACTCTCTCCTCTTTCTCCTCACAGTTTCGCATTGCCTTATTAGCTTCTTCATAAACTTGCCGGCATCTTGGCAAACTCTCCTCCTTCCCAGCAGAAAGCTCGAACTGTGCAAAACTGATCCATACCTAGGGGGAAAGTAAGTTAAAACCAAGCTGACTTTTTTAAATTAAATAAGCAGATAACCCTAACCTTCATATAGGCCACTTGGACAAATGTATTACAGTTATTTTAGGACATGATACATCTGTTTGAATTTAGTCAAACTATAGCATCAAACTACATTGCAAGGAAAGATTAGTTCTGCTTTTCGTCCAGGGTTTTTGTAATTACAGTTCCAAAGCTGCTCAGTGGGAAGAAGGCTGCTTTGAAAAGCTTTACAGAATCACAGAATGGTTGAGGTTGGAAGGGACCTCTGGAGATCATCTAGTCCAACCCCTCTGCTCAAGCAGGGTCCTCTACAGCATGTTTCCCAGGATCGCTTTTGCAAAGCTCTCCTTCGTATAGGAAGAATAGCTGTTGTTAAACATAATTTAGATCTTTTTTTCCCCCCACGTTTTCATTGCACAGGCCGTGGTACAACACTGGGAACTCAGGTTCACAGCTGATTTGAAAAAGCCCCAAAACCAAAGCAGCCAAGGCTCTCTCTCCAGCATGGACCAGAACCAACACCAAATCTGTGCTCTGTGCACATGTACATACTTTAACGTGTTGTGTCCGCTGAAGTAATCTGCGGTAAAGGTTTCTTGTTTTCTCATACTCTTCTTGCTCAATTTCAAAGTCAATATAGGATTTCCAAAGAACCTGTAAAAGAGAAGTCTCTGCTTATGTTCACAGCATCTTCAAACAACCCTGTATCTAATACTTAAAAAAGGAAAAAAAAAAAATTTTTTTTCCATCCTCTCAAGGAGGAGCATGGGTAAACATGAAATTTGTGGAAATACATTTCAGAGGTCTGTGAGTATTAACTGACTGTACTACCTAGGATTAAGGCTAAGTAATTTCAAAGCTTGTGCGCATAATCCAGTCAGAAGCTAGCTGTTTAGGGATAGAAAAATATGACTGTAAGCATGTTCCTCCCTCCAGGTTTAAACATAGGTTTTATAGCCCTGAGTAACCTGTCAAGAAACATGCTAAATTAGATGAGAGACAGACTAAGCCACTATGAAAAGCATTTCTGTTAGATTAGAACTGATAGATTATCAGATAGATATCAGCCACACTGCGTAATAAATACCTTAATTTCACTACCTCAGAGTTCATCTACCCTCCCTTACCTCTGGCATGTCTAACCGAGGCTGGCCAATAGCCAACTCATATATTGCACGGGCTCTGTCGATATCACCAAGAATGGTCTCTAATTCAGCGAATTTAATCCATGATGTGCAGTTTTCTGGTGCAAACTCCAGGAATTTTTCATACAGCTTTCGGCAACGATCAAATTCTCGCAATTGTAATTCCAATTCAATATAACCCTTAAACAGTTTGTTTTTTGGACATTTACCTATGGATGTCCCCTGTTAAAAACAAAAAAAAAAATCTCTCAGAGATCTTGCAAAAAAAAAACATGCCACCTTGTTTTCTGAATAATCTTTTATTGTTCAGTACTTGAACTAAAATTTGTTTGTGAGCAGTTTCTCAGGCTGATCAGGAGCAGTATGAAATCCAATCAGTGTTCTACAAATTGAGTGTGCATCCATAAACTATCAACAGAAACTCTGAAAACAGAAAATCTAAACTTGTTTGATAAAATTAAGTAATATGGATCCCCCATGAATTATCAGTTGAAACCCTGACTCGTCAAATAAACATCTTGAGTCAAAAGCTGAAGAAAGCACAGTAAGCAGTTCCCGAGTGTCTTATATTATAAATTATATCACAAAAAACTAGCTCCTGGCCCACCACTATTTACCATTGCACAGAGAATTGTCCATGCTCCCTGCCTGCTGACTTACAATAATGGATAGATAAATAATGCTTGAAGAAATATTTCGGTGCCAAGCTGTGAGAAAGCAGTTTCTGATTCTTATTCTAGGAATCTTTTCAAAGAGTTAACGGGTACACCTGAGAGAGGTAAACCTACAGGCCTGTAGTAGGCTTCGCTCTGAGACGCTTCTGTAGACAAGTACTGTTCGGTAAGCACTGGAGCCTCTCTCTTCCTTCAAGCTGATGTGAGCAATTAATTCAAAATCAAACTCCCTTACTTTGATTTTCCCACACAACTTGCCTGCCTACAGGTTGCCTATCTCAGTACTTTAACTAAATGGAGGAAACCACTATTTGGGAACATTGACTTGGTCACCGTTATGGGTCTCTCTAGCTCCACAAATGTCTTTTCTATTTCAAAATATGCTTGGTTTCATTCCTCCATTATTGCAATTCCTCCATTACTGTTTTCTTAAGTAGCATAGACTCCAGCTGATCTCGTGTCATCCAAGTTCCAGTTCCTCTCAAACCCTAGGAAAGCAAAGAACCCACTCGACATCTGCAGCCAGTGAAAATAAAGCAGAGCAACGTGCTGTCTGCATACTGATCAGCGTTTCAGCACAAGGAGTCTTCTGCACAGTGACAGTGTGGGACCCAAATACCCTCACCTCAGGACCAAAATGTGGTTCAAAGTCAATTCACTGGGACAGAAAGGAACTGCTTGCCAAATGTAGGTCCAGTCCAAAGAAAGCTGACAGCTGTATCAAAATCTGGTTTCCAAAACAGGATGTGACATACTAAAAACAGGTCTATCAAAGAAATAACAGAAGGAAAAAAGACCACCAAAAAGAGAAGCCTCAAAGAAACTGAGGAAACTAGGTTTCCAGACAGACCAAAGCAGCCTTTCCAGAATCCACTAAGTCATTTACCCCTAAAAATGAAGGGTGGAGGCAGGGTGATGATCAGTGAATATGCTAATGTTTAGCAATGGTATCTTAAGCCAAGTCTGAACAGCAGCACACTTAAGGACAGATGGTTGTGTTCTCCTATAGGGAGGCATTAACAATCTCACAGTGGACTTAATCCCTCCGCTGCTTTTCTCTGGTCAAGGGCGGGAGTGCAGCTCACCAGATAAAGCTTTACTAGTACATTAGGGGGCAAACACGGTCCAGTGTCAGCTACAGGAGGCCATTCACGTTTATGTTCTATCAATCACTTTTGTTGCATAGATATGATGGAAAGCCCACTCATTTTCTCTTCAGCATCAAACCACCACAACTGTTACCAGTACTGGCTTTCTCTCAAAATGCTTCATGCTGTCACCTAGTTTATTTAAAATATCTGAAAGGACGTTTTACACTCCAAAAGGTTTTTCTGCCAAAACGTATTCCCTTATTTTCTGACATGATAATGAATTCAGTACTGGAGTTCAGCTCAGTCTCTTAAGCGCATCCAAGCCCTCGAGATTACTTCTATTAGCAGTCTGGTAGCTGGGACTCAAACACTCCATTGTGCAAGTCTTAATTTTTCAGGGTCAAGAACTCCTATTGATTTTAAAACGTTTGTTAAAAAGCCGTTTTTAGCACAAGCATCGTTTAAACAAATCGGCAGCAGCTAAAAAAATACAAGTGCACTAAGCTGATTTGGGTACTCTTGCTATTCAGATGCGTGTTTTGCCAGCTGAAACGAGAAAGCTGCATTAATTTCAGCCAGCAGTTAATTCACCGTATCTCAAGCTATGCTTCTTTTTAAACCATACATGACAGTAAATACTGGTCCCTGCAGATTTCTTCATTGCTCGTCCCTGCTTTATTTAAATGCATAAACCAGCAATTTAAAAAGATCTTAAATTGTCCTTTAAATGCCATTCCCTTAACATTAGTTGGTTAAGGCAATTATGGAATTAACCCCTTCTTTTACTTACCAAAGCTCTTCTGGCAAGCGGAAGATTTTTCTGTCGTATTTCAAATTGTGCATACAGCAGCCATATTTTGGCAAACGTAAACTGGAAAAAAACCAACCAAACAAACAATGTGATGCCTGAATTGGAGGCGTAAGAAATGCTGTTGCGTATGTTCTTTAAAAAACATCACATAGACTATACAAAGAAATGTTACTGCTACCACAGTTTGTTGCAGTTTACCTCAGTGTTTTCCTACTGAAAAGGTGAGGAGTTCATAACCCAAAACAACCTTTTTAGGAAAGGACAATTTTCTCTGCCATGGATAAAAGTAAAAATGGCCAGCACAGGAAGTTTTCTCAAACAAAGAAAACCGTTAGTTTACCACTAAATCAATTAATAACTAGCTATCAATTCTTAATTATTACACACTAATCCTAATCCACACATCTGATAATTCAAATGACATGATTAAAGTCACATTGCATTCCACGGCAAAGCTGGTTAATTGTTTTAAGGGTTGGACCACGTGGAAAGATTAATTAAAGCTCACTGACAAAAAAGAGAAAGTCATTCTTGAAGAGGTGCACCTTCCTCAGCTGGGACCACGCAACCAATTAGAAACAGTTGCTATTAAAGGCAGTAGCTCCCTGCAAAATGGAACAATAAATATTCTGCAGAGGCTGTGAGCAGGTAGGCTGAGAACAGCTATGAAAAGATCAACCTGAGGAGGAAAACAAGCAAGGGGAAAAAAGAGATAACAAAGTTCTTCCCCTGCTGCTTTTGGGTACTAAACTAGACTCTACATGCTATTCCAGCTTTTTAAAGCAAATGGGGTAACTTGAAAACACCCTTGCACTATGCCTGTATTAGGCAACAGAACATCAGTGCGTGGCCTGCTGTTTCCTACTGATGATGCAATTTGCAGACATCTAACACCTTAACTGAAGAAAATGCTGTCAATTTTGGAAGAAGAAATTAATGCTACTGGAAGGGAGTCCACTTCAAATCTTGGATAAATACCTCCCTTGTTCCTGAGCAGGAGCTTCATGAATGTGCCAGTAGCCGTTTGAAGGTGCGTACAAACCTGAACCTTGTTCTCTTCACTGTAACTGACTGAGGATAATCCAAGTGGCTTCAAGACTAGGAAGTGGTGGGAGCAGGGAAAGAAAGCTTAAGGATCTTGATCTTGGGGACTTTAATCCAAGACTTGATACAAACTATTGGAGAAGCCATACCTTCTTGTGTGGAATGAGCTCAATACATGCCTGATACACCTGTCTGGTTCGTTCTGGATCCTATAAGAACAGGCAAGATTAAACACCTCATTCATTGCTGAGATTACATTTCATTTTGAATCATGCAATAGTTGCCAAACTCAGAACAGTACTAGAGTATGTTTAAGTCTAGATGTTTAGAATCCTGTATATTTAAAAATACACACTTACTTATTTGTGTACACAATTCAAAGATGGTAACTTCTTTTCAAAACAAAATTTAACACTAAGATTTAGACATGAAAACTAGCAGCGGCCCTCCTAAAAATAGTCTCTTGGAGGAAAAAAAAAAAAAAACCCACCTTTTTTCTCTAACAGACTTTGAATAGCTATGCTACACTATGATGATATGAATTAAAGAGCAGCTGTAGCATTAAATGACTGATAACAAACATACAGAAGAAATATCTAAGCAACCTCATCATTTCTGACTGCTTGACAGAACAACTTCACAAATTGTTTTGTTCAATACCAAACTGTTTCACAAGTCCAGACAACAGCCCGGAACACGTAATTCAAATAGGCCTAGAAAGACCTACTTCTGATTTTATTCATCAGCATATTTCTGGATGACTTGGGATGAAAGTGAAATCTCCCTTCACCCCCAAGCAAGGGAGGGGATGCTACACACAAGTTAATGGAGAGGGGAAAAAAAAAAAAAACACCTCTTAAATAACAAATCCTGTAGCTGATTACACAAAAGAAGACATGAGATGATTAGTTCTTCATTTTCTTATTGAAACGAAAACATCTGTAGCTACTTAACGTAAGGAAAGTATCTGGAAAGGAAGAAAAAAAAAAAACCCTGAGTTTCTTACTACTTGCCTTTGCCTCCAGCTCTTCATATAATGCATAATTGATCCAAAGATAGATATATCTCTTCCAGTGTCTCTTCTCTTGAATTGGGGGAACATTGGCAATGGCTCTTTCATACACTTCTCGGACAGTGTCGGCATCAGCATCGCTTTCAACTAACCTCAGATAGTCAAACCATGCATCATAATTATGTGGATTCGCCTTCCAGAAACATAGGAAGAGGGAAATGGGAGAGAAACTTCAGTAACTCTTTAAGTTTAAAAAAAAAAAAAAAATCCTGTTCCTTCACATACAGTTTTTATTCAGAGTTTCTCCTTTAAAAAGAGCTACTGAAATAGTAATGAAAACTGTGAGTCTCAGGCATACTTACAATAGGCTTTTGAGGACGTGGGTTGCAATTTATTTGCTTTTATTTTACTTAAAAGATTCTCTTGAGTGAGGACAAACAAACCACTGAGAGGGGAAGGGGAAATGATGAAAATCTGCAGTATTCAGCAATTCAGTGAAAAGTAGGTCTAAGTATGGCACACTTACTTCCTCACAGAAAGATATTTATACACAGACAAGGTCTCCTGTAAAAGTCAGTACATAACAAAAGTGAAATAAATTACGAGCTTAAACCACGTCTCCCTAAGACGACTGCAAAGAACAGAGTTCTCTCTGCAATCAAAAATTTTGGAGCCACAATCTATGTTAGATTGCAGAAAGAAAAAAGCAGTGAACAAATGTTAGGTATTGTTTCCCTACAGATTGAGTTCTGCCTTGTAAAAGAGCAGGGGGGTGCTTAAGGATTTTTTTGGCTTGAGCACTGAGGGAGATGTAAAATTAGTTAGCCTTTGTATCGTGAGATGCTTGAGTAGCTTAGGCAGCACCTGGGTGTGTGATGAGCCCAGAGGATGTTTATAATACATACCTTCACTTCCTCTTCATACTGGAATCTCCTCTTGCTGACAATAATGTCTTCAATTCCCCTTCTGTCCCCAAACTTCTTCTCAAAGATGGTGTAATTCTTAAAGAGATTTTGGGCCTCCTGTTTTGGAATTCTATCCAAGGCATATTTGTAGATCACTCTTACTCTTTCAAACTGAAAATATTAAATATCACTTGAATTAGACTTACAAAAAACATCTTTCCTCCCCCAAAATCGGTGCTTTAATTTCTCAGTGAGCTTTTTGCAATATTTAATGTAAACATGTGTTTTAGGACATGACCAACAGATCTCCCTGAAGAGTAAAACTTTAAAAAAAAAAAAAAAAAAAAAAAAAAAAAGCTTTCCGTAACAGATTATCACCATCTTGCTTATTCATTTACAGGTTTAAGATGCTTAAAATAGTTTTAAGAGGCTGCGGTGTAGGGTTTTTCCTTCCCCTTCAAGGAATGTTTTCAATTGCTTTATGTCCTGGATACTTTCAAGATGGCATCTGGGGAAAACATGGTTAATTCAGCTTTTTTAATCATGTAGACGATCGACCTACAATCTCACAGAAACTTAGAAATCTGAGGATCTGTATGGCACTATCCTTACGTTTGATAAGATTTGTTTCTTAGATTGTTTCTTAGAACATATTTCCTCAATGTCATCAAATGAGAAATAAAAAAAAGGCAAAAAATTGTCTCCTGAACTCAGACTGCAATAACAAGACCTCATAAAGTGCTGAAGAAACACAAGCATTGAAATAATGTTAAACGGCCTTGAGTTTGATGTTCAAGAAGAAATCTTGGGGGGGGGTAGTTAGTATTAATCTGATGTATAATCAAGAAGGTCTTACTTCTTTCTGGTTCTCCTCAAATTTTGCAAAAGCCACGTACAAATGCTCATCCATATGCTCTTCTCCAAAGAACTCCACTGCCCTCTCATATACTTTCCTTGCGTGAGCAAAGTAACTGTGCTTCTCTTCAAAGCGGGCATACTTGATCCAGTTTTTAACATCAGGATGAACAATAACAAGTACAGTTACGTTAAAGAAATGGTAACAGTTGAATTGGACATTTCAAATTCCGTTCTTCCCAGTGACTACAGGGTCATGGACTACGAAACACCACCCAAGGATGATATATGCAAGTGATACACTTGGGAAGAAGACTCAGAAGAGTTCTGAGCAGGCAAAGGCTTCATGTTCGGTCCCAAGAACTTAAGGAGAAAAAAAAAAAAAAAAAGGTGAAAGGGGGGGAAAAAAAAAATCAGACAAGGGTCAAGAAGAAGTATAAGAAGGAGGAATTTGAAACAAAGGATGACTGCAAGAAGCTGGAAACACGAGTACTGTTAAATAAAAGAAATGAAGAATCCAAGCCTAAACCTGGGTAGGAATCACAACGCACTAGAAAGGATATATCTCTCATAAATGGTACGCGCCCTGTCCACCTCCTTGTATCTCAGCTCGAAGTTAATATAGGAATGCCAAGCTTGCTCCTCTGGTTGCCACTCCATCCAACGTTCAAACACCTGACGTGCTCCAGCAACATTCCCCAACATCTCTTCCATGTAAGTATACTTATACCTTAGAAAATAAGATCAAGTGTTTACAATCACTTAGTAAATGCTTAAAAGTACAATGACTTTTTTTGAGTGTTCAGTAAGAGCATTACTGAGATTTCTCCACCTGTTCACCACTTGCCCTCCAGAAGTGCCTATACTGTTGTGATTGGCAGCACGCAGATACACAAACATCCTTCTTCCACTACTGTTAACCACTTGAAAAGTACAAAAACTTTCTAAAACTTAAGCCTTTCCATTTTTGGGGATTAACTTGAAGAACTGCAGAAACAGAGAACACAATGCACTCTTGCATTATGCCTAAACAGAAAAATGAAATATGCTCTTTGAGAGTTAAAGCAATGCTTTACTCTCTGAAAACATACCAGAACTGGTTGACCCTGGGGAGGGTAGTAATGGCTCGATCCCAAATGTTGCGGGCGTGATTAACCTGGCGGTTCTTCATTTCCATTTCTGCATATTTCAGCCAGAGAGTGACATTTCTGTAGTCTACGTCTAAAGCACGTTCGTAAATGGAACGAGCTCTGGAAAGTAAAGAGACATTGTTGAAGTATGTTGAGAACATAACGTGCCTCTAAGACTTTCATGGTATTTGTCAGCATGCATCTAAAAAAGTTTAAAAGAGATGCCTGCAGCTACAGCATAATTACCTTTGTATTTCTTTTAGGCTTTCCTCCCATTGTGCGTACTTTATCCAGTTACTGATAACAGTTCTGTTTTTTCTTATGTTATCTTCAAAAGTCTGAGGAGAAAGTTATTTCTGTAAGTAGGAAATACCTCTGTGCAGAATGATCTTGTTGTAAACCCTTTACAGAATATTATTATAACTGGACTACGTTCCAAATATTATATCTATGCAGATGTTGAAACAAGTCATACTCAGTAAAACATTTTCCAAAAATTGAGTGACAGAGCAGCTAGAAGCATAAATCATCATTTAGATAAGGACTAAACTCAAGTTCCTGCAACTTAATACATAAAATACCGGCAGAATATTAACAGATAGCACTCAAATCTTTTCCTTTTTCAACCTCAATCTCCTGGTTAGCTATTCAATAGCAACGTTAACTGGACGTACAGAATCCAGTCACTGCAGACAACACTGAATGTATTCATATGTGTCAGCAAGAGTTTGCTCCCTTCGACCCATTTGTATCATTGTGCGCTCTCGTTCTCTCTTTTTTGTTTGTTTGTATTTTTACAGCAAGATGCATTATGATTATTCTTTCGATTTAAATATTCTGGTGCCAAACGTGCGAGACAAATTTCACAGCTTGGTGCAATGGTGAGGGCCTCTTCAGCGCTGTGGACTACTATCAAGAACGCTGCTATTGCTATTTAACATATAGCTAAATATGGTTTAACACACACAGTTAACATGTGGTGTTTTGTTACTGCTCTTCACATGAGGGATGAGAAAAATGTAACATCAAAAACTGTTTTGGAGCGCTGTGGTGTTGATCATCTAACTCCAGTTGCCTTGTATGTGCCTGAGCAAAATGACATCACCATCTGGCACTATAAAGCCCTAAATTTTCATTAGGGCTCTTAAACATCTTGCTTAAATTAAAAAAAATTAACGTTTTAGTGCGTTATATGAGCAGCAACGTAAGGGATTTTTTTTGCCTTTACCTTCCTTTTGCGAAGTTTATAGTCATTTAGCTCCTCCTCATCTGTGATCTTCTGTTGAGGAGGTGGTGGAAGAAGTTCAAGCTCTCTCTCTTTTGCTTCTCTTAAAAGCTGTTCTGCTGTGATCTGAACTTCTGCAGGTGCTTTATTTTTCACCTGTAAAGTAAGGGAGGAGTTAACTTAAAATTTTCCATGTTAATGCAAAACTGAAACATCCCATCATGAGTAATTTAATCCAGGGACTTACTACGTTCAGTATTTACCAAAGCAGGATATGGGGCCCGACTGAGAAATAACAGGGTCTTAACGTGTATATTAGCCCAAAGCTACGTTGCTTCTGTCTGCAGCACGAAAAACAAGGGAAAACTTTCTTGAAGTCATGGTGGGGCCACTCGGCGTGAGCCGCCGTGCT